TCCGATTGATAAGCGTTATAACAATCACAGTTATAGCTTCCGAAGTTTATAGCACACTAATAATAAATACTCTTTTTTTTGGCGCGTTAAGTAATAGTGTATTTTAGTGGAGTTGGATTTTTGCATGCCCTGGGTGAAGTGACAAAAACAAAAATGAGAGTGCAAAACGTCTTATTGAAAATACTTTAAATTTATAGACTTCAAGATCTGGTTTTTGTAGTTTGGAGGTGGCGAAAACACTTAAATTACTTGTTTCATGAATGAAAAATCGAGTAATAATTTTGAAATAGAAACGGGGTCGTTTAACTTGCTTACGATAAAGGATCATAACGAATCACCACAACAAAGGAAAACGATGTTACAAGCAACACATGAAACTTTTCTTCATGATTAAGCTGGATTTACACGATCATTGGATCAGTCTAACTTTCCAAATGTTCAAAACGTTAACTGCCATGCAACATCTGGTCTTTATTTATAAAGGTTTCACGCGTTGAATTAATATCCTTAGTTTCTTTAATGATGGGTTCGTCTCTCTATAATATGTATGTTTGGGAGTGGGTGTCTGAACCGAGACAAATTCTGAATATGTAGAATCCCAACCCAGTTGACTGAACATTGAGTAATTCTTCTTCTTTCTTATGTACTCTATCAGAGTTTTGCAGTTTCTATTATATTTGGATACACACTGTGTTGGATTATTTATTATTTTATATGTATTTTAATAGCGATGTTTGTTTAAATTAAATTTATATTTAGAAATGTACATAATTTTTACTGTTAAATATGTATTGCGAAACTCCAGCCTATTCTCTAAAGTTGTAGAAGATTCTCGAGTGTAATAATCAACAACATGTATGTGTACGTAAACGCTAGTGTTAGCGTCAGTATTGTTACTTAAAACTGAAATTTCGCGAAACTCTCCACACGCGTATAAATATAACCAACCTGACGCGCCAAAAAAAAGTATCTATTTTTGGGTTGCTGTAATTGGTGTGCTAGAAACTTCGTAAGCTATAACTATGATTGACGTTTATTAATGGGAACTTCAGATATATTGACCAGGAACGTTTATAAATTTCTAACAATAACAAATCATTCAACTTCAGTGGATTCACATCGGACATTAGTACTTGTACGAAAATATTATATAACTTCAGCGGTAAAAGAAACTCGACCTGTAATCTGCGTGTAATCAGTGAGAATTATAGAGCTAGCCAGCTCCCTATTAAGTGAAATGTACCTACGTCAACTCGAAATTAAACGTCGCTCATCGTGAACCCTACCGATAAGAACATCAAGGAAGTTACCAGACTAGAAAGAAGACTATATTGCTTGTAAGTTTGTAAAACTTTTGTATATAAATCATTGTTTGTAATAACTATCTATAATAACTGTTATTGTAAATTGTAGTGTTGTTTATGTATTAAAACATATTTCTATTTAAAAAAAAAAAAACTGTGTTTATCAATCTTGTTGGCCAATATCATAAATTGGATACATATCGGCATTTGTTTAACTTCTAAATCTAAATTACAATCTAACTCAATTTCAGGCTATTTAAAATTCTATTACGTAACAACACACATATTAATGGTATGAGTAAGAACTTGGGTCACTCAAATGGCTAATTTAAACGCATATTTTGTTATGGAACCTGTGAGAAACAAACGAGATGGCTTTGTATAAACTAGAATAATCACGAGGTCAATTGTCAATTTAATTCCCCTCCCACAACCTTTCTTCACAACCTCTCTACGTACAAAAGTGTAACCCAAAATATGTTTTACCTAGTTCACACGCCGAGGGTAAGAATAATTAACTACATAAAAAAGAAGAGTGACGGTACACTAACAACTGGGTGAGTCACGACAACAGAAATCTCTTTGTGATCGGATTCTGTTATCACCTGCACGCAAGGCTAGTGGCAGGTGATATTGTTACAAGTAAAAGGACAGATTTTTATGACTTTGCGAGGAACAACATATTTCTAGCCACAAATGTCCACAATCTACAAAGAATACACGTGCGGATAAAGAAAGGATGCCAACAAGTTTAATATTTTGACTTGCCAACCTCCCACAGTCACGTCTGGTGATCAGATTGAAGTCCACGATACTAGCGACAAATTACTGACTGGAGGGAAATTACGAAGGAAATGATGCTTATGCGACTATAGTCGCCACGTTGAGCAGCGCTTTCACATAGCATATATGTAATTTATATATTATATTTGATTTTCATACGAATCTGTAGGTCTGCCATACTACCACACGTGAATGTTGTGTTACATTTAAAGTATCATGAAACATAGGTCAACAAGGGTTTGATGTAAAGGATACCCAGCCCAAAAGTAACATAACTCTTATGTATTATTCTTTTTTAAATCAAAAGCAGCAGTTCCACAATGAAATTTTTGATATAACTAAGTCAATTTTCAGTTACTTTAGCATCTACAGTATGTTACCTGGATAGCGAATACTGTCAGGAAACACGTTTCTCTAACATATGTCCTAGTGTCCAACTGCCTTTTATGCCCCCCCACGATGGCTCAGCGGTAAGCCAAAGGACTTATAGTGCCAAAAATCAGGGTTCGATCTCTGCGGTAAGTACGGTACAGAAGGCCCATTGTGTAGCTTTTCACTTAACAACAAAAACAAAACAAACTTTATTAGTCACATTCACATTGTATCGGTTTACGTATTTCGCTTTCGATAGTCACCTGTATACAACATCAAACTCTGTAGAAAGAAGCCCTCCAGTGGCTCAGAGGTAAGCCTGCAGGTTTACGACGCTAAATATTGGGTTTTGATACCTGTCGTGGGCAGAGCACAGATAGTCCATTGCATAGCTTTGCACTTAACAACAATCAAACCGAACTATAAAAATAAATTAAATGTAAAAATGTGGTAGTATATTTGCAGATTATATACTAGAGTGAAACGTGGAGGTGCAGGGCCCACCCCCTGTTGCCGGATCTGTTATCTTATGTTGAGATATATGACAGAAATGTATGATGATAAGGGTAAGGAAAAGTTACTGCGATTATAGCAGTGATACAAAATTCTTGTCTAAGTGAGAGATTTTATTGATATCTCGGATTGGAGCGTTTCTTTGAAGGTGTAGTCAAACACCCTGTGTAATTTAGAACAAAGGAAAAGTAATTAAAAAACACGTGTATGTGCTATTTTTTGAAAGTAATAATTTGTTTTGTGAGGATAAGCTGTAAGAGTCTAGATCTGATACGAAAATCGTGTTCTGTTAATGAGTTCGAGGTACATCTCCAATTGCTATTGATTTAATACCAGTTGCAGGATGTAATGTTGTTTTTTTAATATGACTAACTGATAACTAGTTTAGATTAAACCATGTTGATTGGTTAAATTAATTTCAAATGTCCATTGTTTGAGAGTTTTAGATGATTCAAGTTGAACGTTCATTTAGTCAGAAATGATAGTGAATTGTTAGGTGATTATAAAGAGAACCCCGTATTTCAAGTGATCATACTCTTAAAATAAGTCTAATTGTTCTAGGTGAACGAAATTTCACCAAAGGCAGTGGTGAGTTTTATTCTGAAAAGTTTGGGCACGGTGCTTCAAGTTAGCATAGTCTAGATTATTTTGGAACACCCTGTATACCATGCAAAAACTTTTCAAAATAAAACTCTCAATTTGCTCCAGGTGAATGCCATCAACAGTACAACAATGATAGTTCTTTATTAACGTCATAACTGATTAGACCCAAAGATAATTCCAAGGTTAAGTTACATGATTCTTTTATTTTGTTTTCCTATCATCTGCACGCCAGACCTGCGATTATAGCAGTGAATTGTGTTGTTCGAAGGACACAATCTTCTTTTGATAGTAACATCATTCTTTGTCATCAGTCAACTTGAGAATAGAATTGAATAATATGTAGTGTTAATGTGCATCGCTGTTAGTAGATAGACCAGCCAAGATAATGTTTCACTGGAAACACAGTCACATTGTCATCCACGCAAGAGAAAGTTATAAACAGGTAATACAATACAGACCAAAACCTTGGTACTCATAACAAAGAATATCGGTTTCGCGTCTTTTTCCTTATATTTGAGCACTGTTTAGCCTTTTAAATTGAAAAAAGAATCGCTCTTGCCTAACACACACACACACACACACACACACACAAAGGCCTAGCGTAATAAATATTCCTACTGCTAAAAACTGAACTTTGGCACTGCCGAGGAAAAGCAACTAGCCAGGCGCTCACTGTAAAATTATATATGATTTATAATTTTACAGTGATATTGCTGTGTTATTTAACGTTTTCAGAAGTCTGACGTCATTCACAATTACGCCACCTACTGGGTAGTTCGCATACCACAATATATTTGTAACAAGTTACATTAAAAAATAATGAAGAGTTATGCTGTTTTTAGTTTTCGTGCAAAGCTGTACTTGGGCTAATTGCCATAACTGTCCATAATTTTGAACTAATAAACTAGATGGAAGGCAGGTAGTCAACAACCCCCTCCGCCAAATGTTGGGCTACTTTTTTCTGAACGAACAATGGGATTTGACAGTCGTTTCTATAGCACACCCGCGGCTCCAAAGTGAGGATCACGGTTTTTGTAGCAATAGGACGCGAACCATGAACCCTCGGACTTACAGACTGGGCAAACTAATCACCAAGCCATGCCTGACCCTAAAAAAAGCTATTTTTGCTTGAAAGTCTAAAACAAATATGTCAAATTCTGTTATTTTTTCTATAACAATGCCATTTTACGAAATCTTAAAGCTACGTTTAAAAATATTGAATGTAACGAAATTTTAAATATAATAAAAAACGAAAAATTAGTTATAGTCAAATAACTAAATTAAGCTAAGATACTACAGAAATATGCTTAAAAGAGCATCAGTCTTTCTTCAATGACAGATAAAATTAAGTTTTTCAGCTTATTTGTTTGTTGAATTTCGCGCAGAGTTACTCGAGACCTATCTGCAATAAAAATCCTAATTTTAAAGTGATAGAATAGAGGGAAGGAAGCTAGTTAACACCTCCCACCGCCAACTCACTCTTGGGGTGCTCTTTACCAACGAACAGTGGGACTGACGTCACGTTATAACGTTCCCACGGCTGAAAGGGCGAGTACGTTGAGTGATGAAAAGATGTTCAGAATCTGGACGATGGAAAACTTTTTTCAGGTGCTTCTAGTTGGTCGTGATAGAAATTATATAAGAATTGTAACTGCAGGTAATTTCAGTGCTATACATTTTGATCTAACAGTCCGTTAATATTGGTGGGTTTGTTAACTCAAGCCATTGTGTCATTGAGAAAGTTTAAAGGCGTTTTAAGAATGAGATTCATTTCGTAGTTGTCAACAAAATACGCCAACTTTTGAGAAATAAAGTAAATTCAACTTAAACCTAAAGACATATGTTTATTGTTTGGTCAAAATCATAAATAATATTCAATGGTCATTCAGAAAAAGTTATGTCACTCAAGTGTGAGCCCTGGCATGGCATGATAGTTAGGGCGCTTGACTAACAATCTACGAGTTGCGAGTTCGAACCATCGTCACTGAACATGCTCGTCCTTTCAGCTTTGGGGGCGTTATAATGTTACGGTCAATCTCACTATTCGTTGGTAAAAGAGTAGCCCAACAGTTGACTAGTTGCGAAATTCAAAACAAACCATACACTCGAGAGTGTTCTTAAAGAGAGTATGAAAGACTAATATTATAGAGCAAGAGATGTCACGTGGCTCAAACTCAAAAATTATTTTGAAATATAAGAAAATTGATTAGTTGTATTACCAAACTCGCCTTGTTCAATACCACATCGAGACCCTCCATCAGACACGAACTTCGGTCTTGTACAGATTTCCTATAGAACAACAAACAGTAAAAACATAGTATATGTATTAGAATTCATATCATTATCAGTATGGTATATGTTATATTAAACTTATGAAAAACTTTATACACGTTAAAACCATCATAGCTGGAACAGCTATAAATTTCACCGTTCCATAACTAGTAAATAATGTCTTTATTCAGGTATATTCACGTAAGTTTTCTAAATTTCCAGGTAGCTTCTGCTTGTAGTCATAGATACATGCTAATCCTTTTGTACAGGTAAAGGTTACATACTACAGTCCTTGTATTTAAGTGTCAGGCTAAGCATGTACACGTTTCCCCATTAACTTCTAGCAAGGTAGCCTATTCAAATAGGTAATACAGAAACCTCTATAACTGCTTTGGCTAAGAATTGTTGAAGTATAAACCTAGAGAGTTGTGTGATACTTTGCTTGATTATAAACTTGGTGTATTCACACAAATCTCGCTTTCTCATTTTTTTTTTCAGTTTGAAAGGATTCCTCTTCACCCCATGCAGCGGCCAGTTAAAGTCAACGGAAAGCGTAAGCCGGCCAGTGCATCACAAACATATCTTTGAGAGTACAGATTTCGTTTATTTTTCCTCTTTTATTTGTGTTTCCTTTGCAATTTGAGTTAGAAATTATTATCTGCAGTACATTTATAGAACCTGCGTTTTGGGGATACATTTAAACGTGTCTGCTGGATAACAGACGAACTAAAAATTAACAATTTGGTGACGTGACAAAAGAATTTGTTGTTGTAAAGGTTATTTTGAAGAGCTTCTTTTTACGTTTGACTCTCTGTGCCTGTAATGTTTGATAATCATTATAAAGGAAAGGCACTTTCTGAGATCCCGCATAACTTACAGTGGAGAGGAGGAAGATACGGTTGAAGTGAGGACTAGATCTGAGAATGTGACAAGGACTAGGAAAAGCAGTCTCCTAGACCTAGAGCTTTCACAGCAATGCTGAGAGTAATGTCTGCGTTCTCGTTTCATCTTCGTTACTGAGAGGTTGATAGATGGCTAGAGGATACCGATACTGCTGCTACCCAACATCTAATAGCTACTTCCCATGGTCTGGAACATGGGACAGTAGAGAAGAGTCGTGATGACTTCGATCAGTCTGAACACTCCCATACTTACTGGAGTGGTCTCTATGGGACACCAAATAATAGAGAGTGAAAAGATGCACTCGTCAGTCGAAGTTCGACGCGAAAGGCCGCGACAATATCAGGCAGAATGTTTAGTCACAATTCGGCGGATCTTGGAGTTAGTGGAATTAGTCGATGCACAGTTATTAAGGGGGCATAATTTTGGTCAAGACTTCACCTAAAGACGCAAGATTCGTCAGGATGCGCGCGCCTCTGAATTCTTTGAAGAAGAGGAACTCCTCAAGACCACATCTTGAGCCTGAGTTTGATGTGGAATGCGATGACAAGGCGTATTCCTGTGCGTCACGTCATTACGATTATGTACAGTTGCATGTGTCACGTCATTTTACATAATACATCGCTCGAAAATATTGCATTCGCAAGAATAACAACGTGTTTGGATCCTTGGAAGAGGATGGTGGCCTCCCTCAAACACGCACAGCTTCTCAGCTGCATAGCGGTAGAGAGGCTGGTAGCAGGTGCCTAACTGCACTGACATTTAAGTATAAGTGGTGATGATGTGAAACAAATAAACCCACCAGTGTTTAATGAGATGGTGAAGAAGAGATATAAATCAAGTGCATATAGGACAGTCAGTTGGTTTAGGTATCAATGACTGAAAGGAACTGCTGTTATTTACTTTCTGTGTTATCAAGTGATGTTCACGGTACAATATATGATCACTACGCTGTGTGATTGCAACTTGATTATTTTATAGTTAGGATGGCCAGTTGGTTGAAAAATTGAGTATTGAGATGTTTATGTCGATATTATTTCCGAACAAGGTAGCCATTATTCATGAACTTTCTGTTTACTACATAAGTTGTAATGTTATACGTTTTATGTGGTAAACAAAGTTATAGTTCACGACTTATGTGTGTAGTCAGACATGTTTTTACTTTTTATTTGAACCTAGGATTAAAATGTTTTTTTTAAACAATCTCCAAGTCTTGTAATAGTCGATCCGACGTAAGCGCCTCCAGACGTTTGGCAGCAGAATTCATAAATAATTCGTGACTGTTGAGAAAACTGGATACGATCTTTAAGCCTGAAAAAATTCTGAGTTCTCAGTAATGGTCTGAACACAAATTGAAAGTGTATTTGTGGATAGATTCTGTTGATTATAGTGTATATTTTCTTCAAGATTAGTGAGTGTGAGTTTGTGTACCGTAGAGAGATCATTATCTGTAAGTTCGGGAAGTTTTAGTTCAGTGACTAGGGTAGATGTAATTGTTGAAAGATTTTTGTTGATGTCAGAATCAAGAAAGTAGTTCGAGAAGTAGTTGTGTTTTAAAACATATTTTAACTCTCGCTATAAGATTTCCTGAGAACTGGCGAAACGCTGTGCACGAAAGGTAAAACATTTCACGAGATTTTCTTTGAAATTAAGTGGAACAAGATTCTAAAGTGGATGTACAGTCTGATGCAAATGGGTTTCTGATAACAACCGACATAAAAACGTCTGTTTTTTGATAACGTGTCAAGAACGGGTAGAGCAGAGCATTGTTAGCGTTCACGTGTAAACTTAATGCTAACATGTTTAGAATTCAAATATTTGACAAATTTTGCTAGTTGTTCTTCATTTTTTGGATATTACAAATATATGTCATCAACATAACTATTGTAAATAAACGGTTTGAACTCAGTAGGACAATCACTCAGCCAACTATTCTCATGAAAGCACATAAAACATTGGCCACAGGCGTTAAGCTAGACCTCATTCTGACTCCATCAATCTGTTCATTTAATTGACCGTATAACTGAAAAATTGAGTTTTTCGTTTAAGTTGTCTACTTAGTCCATTAACACATTCCTTGTCTTTGAAAACAAGATTAACACAAAGGTTAATATTCTCATCTTTTGTCCGATTAAAGTGCATTTTAAAGAATCTGAAGAAGATACACGTTATGTTCTCGAACCTTCATTCCTCTTTCTTTTCACATGGGATCAGTCGTGGCCTAGTGATTAAAGTAGGTGTACTATGGATCTGAGAATATATGGTTGGCAACCCGTTGCTGCAAAAATGCTTTTTGGGATGTGGGTGTACAATGAGAATGACGTTCAAATCATATTATTTGGTCAGAGAATAATAGCCCAAGAGTTAACAGGAGATGCTGTTGACTAGCTGCCCTCCCCTAGTCTGCCAGTTCAAAATCAGAGTTAGCTGTGCGCAGATAGCCCTTTGTGTAGGTAGCTTTGAGTGAAAATTGTAAAACAAAAAGTGTTTCCACCGAGAAGCTATCCGAACAAAAAGTTTATTGAAGAGTAAAAATGTTCTATAGTTTCAAAGGAATGTAATGGATAACATAGATTGTGAAACGCTTGTTGTTTTGCAGAATTTAGCGCAAAGCTACATAAGGGCTATCTTTATAAAGATATTCTCTATTTTTGAATTGATAGACCTACTGCCAACTCTAGTCTGATTGAAAAGTGACATTTAATTATCACGCTTACAGAGAACCCTGAAAGAAATGGTGGAGTGCATTTTTTCAGCAACGCGTCGCGAACCAGGAATCCTCAGATTTTCAATCTGGGCACTTGAACCAACAGCCACGCTTGTTCCAGTAATTTAAGCCTGGGCGTGAACTTATACAAATCATCGAATCTACGGGTGACTGTGCTTTATAAATACTGTCACTGAGAAGATTCTAATTATCTTTTACAAAATGGAGAATGACTTAGGAACTGGTTTCTTATCAGCAGGATCTCAAAATGTAAGCAAACTAAAAGAACGTGTAATTAATTACATTATATAAGTGATTTCATTTTACTCACGTATGGCCTCAGCCATGTTATGTGGGAGGATACGGCCTTGTTCTTCCCAAATAGAGCTTTGCTGGTCGGCGGAAAATCAGGATCTTCAAATAGAAGTCCTCGGTCGCGACAGAGGCGCCGGAAGTGCTGGTAGCCATAAAGACCGGTCCCGAGGGCGTCACCTGTTGTGGATTTTGGTTGAGAAAGTACAGACTCTGGCTTTTCTGCATTATCCACTAATGTTTTTCCCATAACGACAGAAGACTGGGTACGTCCACCTCCTGCCAGGTGGGGGACGCTCCAGGCTGTCCCCCTGTCTGGTCCACCACCCCTGTAAATTGTTTGTGGCACCCTCACCTTGGCTGGTTTCAGGATCTCTTAGAAAATAATCAAACACATTCGAGTTCAATCAACTAGGTAGTTAATAGTAGGCGGACACATTTACGTAACTTAACTTATAATTTTCTTGACACCAAAGCAATTAAATTCTCGATAGGGAAATTTATATTATATAAGAACGTTTTTATTTGTGCATTTTTTATTTTTTCATATTGCTGCAACGTGTTTCTTACAAAGTAAAATCCCATCACGTGTTTCTTTATTATACATCTACTACCTACATAAACTGCGAACAAAGCAATCCCGCCCCAAATGATTGATATACTGCAGTGAGTAGTTATGTTTGTTTGTAGTTAAGCACAAAGCTACACGATGGGCTATCTGTGCTCTGCCCACCACGGGTATCGAAACCCGGATTCTATCGTTGTAAGTCCGCAGACATACCGCTGTGCCACTGGGGGGCAAGAGTAGTTATGTATATTAACATATAGCTGTATTTACGTATAGAAGCACATTTTGCTAATATAAATAATACTAAACCGACAAAGATGGGCTATCTGTGCTCTGTCCACCACGAATATCGAAACCCGGATTCTAGCGTTGTAAGTCCGCAGACATACCGCTGTGCCACTGGGGGGCAAGAATAGTTATGTATATTAACATATAGCTGTATTTACGTATAGAAGCACATTTTGCTAATATAAATAATACTAAACCGACAAAGATCGATTTATAAGCATAATGAAATAGTTTTATTTCGGAGAAAATACTAATATAAACGTATAATTGTATCTGTAAATAAGAAGAGTGGACACAAGTTTATAGGACTAACTTGCCCAAATACCTAAGACTCATACTATACAAGGCTAAGGGAAATATAACGCAACTTATCCTAATTACACGCCCTGATACAACTGTCATTCTATATAACATATTAATACTGTGCTTTCTTTTTCCTTACGAATATCGCTTTAAGTCTTAACAGAGTGTCTGTCCCTATTGTATTTTACAAAAAGCATTCTCACATAAATACGAAATAATACACAAGCCTAAGCTTATACTGCAGTTATTGTTCTATTAAAAGTTTGTTTGTTTCTTTGTTTGTTTGAAGTTAAGCACAAAGCTACACAATGGGCTATCTGTGCTCTGCCCACCACGAGTATTGAAACCCGGTTGCTAGCGTTGTAATTCCGCAGACATACCGCCATGCCACTGTAGGACTTTATTAAAAGAAAATCTGAATCTGAAAAGAGCTGATATTGTTCATTTACGTTTGATAAAGATTGGCCAAACAGAAAATTCGAGACTAATACCACGTAATTTGTGTTCTCCTCTTTTGAGCACAATGATCAGGTTAGGGTTACTCATGATCGTTAGAAAGATTGTTACATGGAATTTTGTAGAAACGTAACATGGACATGTTATTATACGTCTATGTTGCACCAACTTTTCGTTGCTTTAAATTAATATCGTATTCTGCTTCTGAAATAAAACACAAAAACCACATGAAAAGTGTTTGTTTGTAGTTAAGCGCTAAGCTACGCCATAGACTCTCTGTGCTGGTCCCACCACTGGTATAGAAACCCGATGTCTAGTGTTATAAGCCCACATACTTACAACTGAGCCATTGCAGGGGGGCACAAGAAAATAAAAGTAGAAAGATATGTAATTTATTTGTATACGTAAATACTAACATGAATTAAAAGAAAAAAGATTTAGATGGGGTGGGGGGGGGGAACTAGGATAATGTAAAATTTCTATCCACTTGTGGCAATTTGGAGACTTAACTTTTGAATTTTTAGTGGAGTTTTTTAATTAATTGCGTTGACAAACTCAAATAAATCACCAAATTCAGAAGCATCGTTAAGGTTGTAAAAACTCTCCAAGCTCATAATTCTAAAGATCCAAATACAGCTTGGTATGTAGTTAGATTTATAACTTTAAAATCTGAGTTTCGTTAGAGCTGCTTCAGCTTTTTGTTTTCATCTCGATATTTTTTGTATATAGGATGAAATTGTTCTTTTATCTTAAACGATCATTAACCTGGCAACTCCTTATCATAACAATAGGGTTAAAGTTAAACACGCGTAAGTTGTTTTCAAGATATCTATTAAATTAAGTTTTATGTGGCCAATCTTTATGTTTGAAATTGTCTTGGTCTTGTTCATTTGTTTACCTCTGCGTGAACAAAATATATCCAGAATTTCTTAACATAAGTTTCATAATTCGAAAAAAAAAAAACACACATATAGAAAGAAAAAAAGTCTACATATTTCGATAGTCCATCTGCGGGAAATTGGTTTCTAGTGTCTATAGGTTCAGGACTTAATATTTAGTGTAATTTATTTAAATCTTGGTTTATGCTGGATGAGAGGAAGTGGAAAAAATTACATACTATGTAGTGTCAACGCTCTAAACAAATAGAAAGAAAAGCGGGTGTATCAAGCTAAATATATTTGGAACCCGACTAATAAAGGCAAGCAGGTCCTGCTTAAAACAACGTAAAGGCGACCTCTACTGGGTCAATGTCCATTCAAGATCCTCTCATGCTTCGGTGTTTTAAAACCGGTATTGTAGGTTGTGAATTATTAAACACGTCCATATGCGGAAGAAGGTGAAACTTCACTGCGCAACTGAAGGTTATTGTTTGTATAAACGCATGTTGTTTGTAGCAATGTCTATTCTATGATTATTCTCTAGACATAATTCTTTTGTAGTTACAAGTCTGCACTGTGATATACGAATTCTGATGCATACACAACCAGTTTTTTAGCCATCATAAACCAGATGTAAAGTTCTGTACATTGATGGGTTAAAAAACTTGTTGGTTATGCATAACTATATACTTTTGTATGCGACATTAAATTGAAAGATATAAACTTTGACAGGGTCAGTAGCACAGGTTGTCCTAGTCACTAATCAGGAAATGGCTAAAGATATGTTTACGATATAACGACAGCAACAAATCGTTTGTTTCTCTCGCTCAAGAACTTTTCTTTCCTTCTCTTACTTGCTATTTTTCACATTTTTTATATATCATATTTTTGTACAATATATATATATATATTCTATATATAAATAAATAAATACAATACAATACTATGCAATACATTAATTGTTCATAGGCGATTAAAATCAGCAATAGAACAATATAAAACTAATGAATTAATATCAGCCAAAAAATATTTTTCATAATGGATAATGCCTGTGGTCATAGCACCCAAATGCGTTGTGGATATTCCATCTATCAAGCAAAATCCAAACGCTGATGAAAAACTTGCCGGAAACTAAGGAAAATTATTTAAGGGTTAGGAGTTGAGTCTTTTGCTGTTACAGCCAGTTGTGGGAAGGCAGTAACCCTTAATACTTAGAAATAACTTTAATGCAGAATTAAACCAACCCGATAAAAATTCGGTAAAAAATTCTACAAAGTATAACACCCAACCTCCACCCTTTCAACTGATGTTATAAATAATATAATACTCTTACAGTAGAACTAAGCCACCCTTAATTTCTACAGAACTCCCAACGTCCACCCTTATGACCTAAGGACGACAGTAAGGAATGGTAACGGAGGCGTGTTTTTGAATATCAATTATAATGCGCTGTAATTAATTTAAAATGGTATTTATTTCAAAAAATCGTATCCGTTTCATTATAGATGTCACTCTAATCATCAAGATTAACGTTTGTAACTGTTCATTTTATAAATCAACTTGAACGCTTAGATTACTGTCAACAAATACACATGAGTAGAATGATAATAATCTAGTCATTATTTAATAATTACCAATAGATAAAATTTATCAGAAATTAAAACAAAAAATCGGGGTTATTAAGTCAGATTTCCTTTCGATGGCGAAAAAATTAATTCAACTGAATATGAAATAATGTTTATATGAAATTTAAATTATTTATAACAAAAAACACACACACATATATATATTTCCAACACCAACTGTTCGGCCAACCGGTTTCTTAACTTAAATTTATGTGGATTTTGAACAAGTTAGTTAGATTAGTTTTTGTTCTTTTTTTAATCTGTCACCATTGTTGTTCGTAGTTCAAGAATGCAAGGACTTGTTCCAATAAGGAAATATGTATGTATAAAATTGTTATGTCACGTGGCGTTTACGAACCCGATAACATTTAACTGTGCTGCTATACAGATCAACGTATTAATATGGACGAAAGATATTTTAAAGTGATTTCCTGTACAATGAGCTATCTTTGCCCTGTTTATTGCAGGGATATAACCCCACATTTTAGCATTTTTAAGCCTTTAGGCTTACCGCTGAGGCCTCCGTGAGGTAAATAACATCTTTAAGTTCCTATTATTATCTTAATGAAATCGATAAAATTAAGAACTTGCTAAATTAGGCTTGCAATCGTTTTTAGCATTGAATATAAAAGGTAACCAATTAAAATAATACACTTAGTTGTTCCCTGAACGACAATAAACGTATTAATAATTTTAACTTTTTCTTGGGAGTGCAATGGCCTTTTGCAGCCAACGACAGCTGGTGGTCGGTTACGACCCAGGAAACGTTCAATCTTTGTGTCTACAGTCCTCCGGCGATATTATAAACTTAATTTTTCACCTGCGAAATAGAATACGTGGGGATAAGGTGAGGCTAATATTTAATACAATAATGAAGCTGAAATAAAATATTTTATCTTTCGTCTTTATTTATGTTCTTCAGTTTGGGTTGGTAGCATAAAAGCAGTCAAATGTTATCATCATCATATCAAGTTCCCAAACATAGTTACAATAGTCGCCAATAATTTCATATCTGAATTAAAACCCAGAACAGAAGTGGCAAACTAATATAGTGAAAATTTGATTCTTGAGTGATGTTACTTGAAATATTTCATCTTATGTTTTAATACCATGGAAGGCATAATTTATTTGA